CGGAAAATATCTGTGCGGAAGACGTTTTGAGATGTAAAATTTTCGAAACATTTGTTGTAAAATTTATTGCTTGTCTGCCTCAGTCTCCCAGGATTTTTGAACATCTAAAAAATGGTGTAATTGCCCATTTTTAACGGATTTTTACCCTAAAGAGGTCATCTAGAATTTTCGGGAGCCTTTTTTCTGGCTGAAATTTTCGAGAAGGTACGTGTTGATCCCTATAATTTTCGAATCACTAGACTTTCAGCTAGGAATTCCGAACAGATGAAAAATTTTTAGGGGGTAAATATATGCCTATATCTACCGTTTAAATACTAAAATACGTTTAACAATGCTATGTTGTGTGGGTTTGAACTATATTCTCGTTGGGTGGACATGAGGATTTGACACCTTAGTGAAGAATATCCATTTTCAACAAAATGGCCTTCGAGCGTGGAGCATGCAGTGGTTTTCAAGACCAAAGAGTGCATTTCAAGGTTGAAAATACACCGATAAGGCTCACAAATGGAAAGAGAAAGTTCAAAAGAATGCTCTTTTTCCTTTTTTTGGACAAATTAAAGCTTTTCTTTGCGAAATTATCCTTCCAGGAATTTAACCTTGTTTTCTTCAAGGCAGAAGAACACTTGGCCTATTTTTCAATGCCATCAGGGCAATGAAGTATTTGAAGAAATTTTAGATACATTTTGAACTCTATGGTCAAGAAAAATACTTTTATAGAAGGATTTTTTTGTATTTATTAAGGTATTATAGACGTTTTTTTCTTTTTTTAATATATTTATTGATAATCACATTAGATAATTACATTACAATACTACAAAAAAGCATTTTAACAATAGACATTAACAGAGTAAAGCAAAATTAATTGTTAAATTAAGAAATTAGAAAAAATTACAACGGGGCAATGAGATAACACGGAGTTAAGACAGTTAACTTAAATAAGGCGTCAGTAACCACTTTCTTTTAAAGTTTATTGCTTTTATTATAAGTATATAAATGGAGGGCTACGCTTTAAGCACTGGCTAGATCTATATATTACTGAGAGGACTAGCTGGTCTGGTCAGCCAGTTCTGACAAATTGTAAACGCCCAATAAATGCAGTGCTCGGTTCCTTTTTTGCTGTCCTAGTTACTGTCGCCAAGTCGTTGCTTATAATATAAGTTCCCTTTTAATGAAAGACTGAGAGGCTTGTACTGGGAGGAGGGAGTTCCGAACCTGTTTTGTGTCGCTAAGTCCATCTCATTGTGAATTAAGGATAGAACACTAGAGTCTATCAACAAACGTGATGAACAAGTCAACTTTATTTTGGCATGGTAGCCCCGGCTATCAGCCACTGCATGGCTGGTATAAAAAGGGGCCCTCCAACAAAATTAATAGTTCACATTTTATTTTAATTCAATTTATTTTATAAATATTTTCATATTTTTTATGTCCTGGGCCGGGTTGTCCAAAGCTGGGTCAAGATAACACAGGGTTAGTGCGAAATTTGAATTCATACAGTGTCCACAATTTGGATGCTCCAAAGAGAATGAGCAAAATTACCAGAGAAAATGCCTTAATAAAACAAAAGCAAAATCTGCCCGATTAGAATTTAACCCCGGTTTACCGTTAATCGGCCAGCGAACAACTGGGCCCTGTATACGTTCAGAAAAGGAATAATTTGTTTGGAATAAACTTTTGTTTCGCTTTATTCAAAGGTATGACCATGTTGGCTTGTTGGTCTCCACATTCGTCGCTTCTTCTTCTCTCAGTATTATGGATCTTACTGCCTATTTCATACCTTTTGATAAAGGATTGGAGCAACTGCAGCTACAATCCCACGTCATATAAAGAAGTTCGTTACATCTCGGTTGAATCTGATGCGAATCAAGAACCCGGCGGATCAATATTATCCCGCAAGGATATGTTATTTCTGACATGGAAGATACAGAAACTGTTTATTCCTCTGTTCGTGGGTATGTTCTGTAAGAATTTGCTACTTTCTGGTATTGTAACAACCATAGCGTTTACTAACATTCCGATTACCCCAAGAAATCAATATTTGCTATACACCTTGGCATATGGGACAGGGGAGCTTCTTAGCAGGCCATATTTAGGATACCTGTCTCTTTGTGCTATCGAAGACAAGTTTGTTTTTAAGAAAACATGGATTCCTGCATTACTTCAAGTTTTTGTAACAATGTTTATGGTGTTTGACTCCTGGTTTCGGCTGATACCTGAACTTTATCTTGCTCTTGCAATGGTCACGCTCAACAACTTCCTTCTAGGGATCCTTTACGTAAACAGCTTTCTGAATGCAGGGGAGGGGCTCCGCGCGGAAGAAAAAAGGTTTTGTCGGGCATTTTTAGCTGGTGCTCTATGGTCGTCAAACATTGCTGCATCGCTGATTTCCCTGAATACAGAACCTCGCCTTCGACAACACTGTCGGCTGTTTTACTCTGAGGTCGCTTGCTATACAAGGTCTCAAACTGCTTGGAGCCGCAATATCTCATGCGTGTTGTAAAATACCAGATTAAGGCATTTCATCAAAAGTTCTAGTGGGATAATTTCGCTCTCAGGTACCCCATTTCCAGAGGAATAAGAAATTTAATGGTGAATCAGTCTAAACCGCTCAGGCTAATCGGAAGACAGTTTAATCGCCTTTTCCAGGAACTGCGACATGATTCATTCATTTTACTTACACTTCCTTGATTTTTCTCAACCGCTGTTATCCTTGTACTAGCCTTCGAGCAGAGGTTTCTCTCTTGCATGAACTCATGCACGCCTGCACGCGCGCTGCTTATTTGGTTTGTTAACTACGCGACTGACAAGCCACGAAAGACTTCGTAAACGCTAAAAGCCATGCAAGAGAGAAACAACAGCACAGCGGGTATCTCCGTACAGTTGAGGTTTACGCGCTCTCGGAGCACAAGACTTAGCTGTACGCAACATGAATTCTTTGTATATATCCACTGATTTTCGAATTTATATCACGCTTTTGGTAGAAGCGTGATTATAATGCTGTGTCTTGAACGTCGGTTTATAAGTCAATCGTTTTGTAAATGTGACCGTGGTTTATCACAGGAGAGTATAAGACAAGCTCGATACTTTGAATGCTCAGTTTTTCTTTTTGCAACGGATCACAGGCATCAATTTTGCTCACCGCGAATCTGTCAACATGGAGACATTTGACCAATCAGAACATGATACCAGAATCTGGTATCATGGAACGGCGGCATCCAGACGTACGATTGAATAGTATCCCATGATGCACCTAGTTTCATGTTATATTATCACTGCGTACGTGACATATCATGATCAGTATTCTTCAGCATGCGCGAAATGAGCATCGCAGCGCTCGATGAGGATGGTTTCCAAGGATGTTTCGGTTCAGCAGCTTCGACTTTTGAGAATGTTGAGTTAGCTTATATTCACTGTGCTTTAAAGGAGATTTTCAGAGTTACTTTGAAGGGTTTTTCATGTGTTCACTGATCTGTCGAGAACTCACTCGTGCGCTCGGTCGCAACTAAACACAAAGTATAAGACTCGGCAACTGATAAGGTTTACTTGGAGAACCAAAACCATGACTGGTCTAAGAACCGGATCTAACAAAACAGCCGCTATGTTGTGAAGCTAATTACCAAACGAGGATTTATTACAGCATGGCGCTCAAAGAAGCTCAGTTTACAACGTCAGTTACAAATAAAATTATCGTCGCGACAAACAATCCTCTATTAAAAGCACAATCTACTCGGTATTGACTGAAGCAATCTCCAAGGAAATTTCCTGGCCAGAATACTGATCTGTTCTTTTGAATAAATAAAGTTTCTGATGTTTCTTTTTCAAATTCTGAGCGGACTTGTTCAACGTTTTCTGTTTGTATGCTGCGTGGCACCTTTCTTTGGGTTCCTATCACACTGAAACACACCATTATTCACCGCTCCTTGTTCTAATTAAAATAATTATAGTCAAATTCCTTTTAAAAGCAACCACTTTGAAAAAACGAAGTGACTGCTTCGGCATAAAGTGCTCTCGAAAGCGCCCAACAGATTGTAGCCTTCAGAAGGCTTGACACATATATTCATCACACATGGCGTTGAAATGTGATAAAAGATACGAAATTTGATCCATTTTTAAGAAGTCTTCAAAATGTAGGTACTTCTGGGTAAGACTTAGCCTGTACAATATTCAGGACTTCATTTTGCTGTCGTGAGGTCCACATTTGGAAGACTTCAACATATAATCCAAAAAATCGTGAATATTCCTGACCTTGTAGTGGGTCACTGAACACTTTGTAATGCCAAGACGAAGTGAAACAATGAAAATAAATGTTTCTATATGGAAACTTTGCTCTTAAGCCATTGTCAATCGAAGAAATCATGTCAAATAACAAAATAATGTAGTTTTCTTACTTTTACTGGAACAGAAATGAGAAAAAAGCTGACGAGAAAACGACATTATTTCACGATGGAGTCTGCCATGACTGCGATATTGCGGGATGCTTCTGGAAAAATGCATCATGGGATACTATTCGATCGTCCAGTCTGGGCGGCATCAAAGGCATGTTTCCAGGCTCCACCGCCCTTTCCCCTCCCCAGGCCACCGCTGGGCTCGCTTCGCTCGCCGCTATTTTTGCAATTAGTCAACCAAAAACCCAATAAACAAACCAGTCACGAATAACAGACAACTCTTGATAGCAGCTATATTTCATTTTGTACATACAGTGGAAAAATACAGTTAAAAACATCACAAGTTGACACAAAACTCTGTCAGCTTCAGCTGTCAAAGTAAACAAGTTTCAAGATGCTGCATAAATTTTCCGCATGAACTCATCGGTCAAATTTTGACCAATCAGAGCATAAAAATTGGACGTAGAGCGTGACCAACCCATAACAGTGGTAAGAAAAGGTCTTCTCTGGGTGAATTTTCGCGTCCGAGGTCAGTTTGAAATCAAAATCTTAATAGTGCTGGGCCATAGTGACGTAAACACAACATATTTCATATGAATTTTTAAAAACTAAACTTGAGCCTGCAATCTTTTCAAAACTAGTAACTTGTCGGCGGATAACTTCAAAAAATACTCCACCTCGATGGGTCGAAACCTGAGCCGACAATACGGCCAGGTGATACTGGTCAGCGGATACCCTGTTTTGACAACTTTCAATTGATCATAACATTGATGTGCAATCAGTTTTTTCCTGGGCTCCCAAACTAGCTAGAAAGTGTGAGAGCAGTAAACACTGGTTTCCCTGTGGTGAGGGCGGACGATCGGTCGTTCGTTGTACGGTCACGTGATAACCAAATTTTCTAGGATGGATAGATTTTCTTAGCTATGGGGCTCCGCGCACGCGCGCGCGTGGAGCTCCGCTACAAAGTCTTATGAGCTGTATTCTTCCCACGATGCACTGCAGGTCCCAACATTGTTGGGGGTTGTTGCATCCGTTTGCACGTATAAGTCCCTACTTTAGTGTCTCACCTTGGCCTAGTTGACCCGGCTATAGACGGTCACCCTTTTAGCCGAGCTAACGTTTCGTTTCTGCTGTTAATCGTTCGCAACGTTTTATAACAAAATGTATCAAAAGTTGGTTCGCCCAGGGTACTTCGGGTAGAAGGGTGACTCTTTTACCCGGAAAACTGTTCTCCATATAAACAGGGCCGTAGTCGTGTCAAACTCATTCTCGTCTGGTCGTGTATGCGTAATTTACTTTAAAACAGGTGAAAAAAATCTTGCGAGGAAAAATCAATATAATAAACCAAACATCGTTTCAACGAATATAAAAAGTATTCCAGAAAATTAGTATTACTTGTAATAACTTTAATCCCAATTTTGTGCAAAGAAGACCCTTTTTATTTAATTTTAGTTTCTTAACACTTTTATTACAGATATTGCTTCGTTTGCAAGGACTTACAATAAATTTATTCATAATTCATTGAGCAATTTCATTTCCAAAATTTTTTAACCGGCAAGTTGTTCTCTGGGCCTTTGGAATATTTACATATTCGAGTTTCAACTCGTTACTTGAAATAAATCCCGCAGGGATAATTCCACGCATGCAATTTTCCCCACGACCACTCTTGCTCATTTTAAAAACTTTGTGTTTACCCGACCGAAATTCAATCTACTTTAGTTGAAATTCATTGCTAATTGGAAAATCTGATTGGCCAGTTTTGTCGAATTGTTCAGGGTTAGTGCGGTAGACGAACTTACAGTAGTAGGCGGACACATTCAATACAAGACTAAATGAAGTTTAGCAACATGGTTTTTTAACTTTGGCGTTTCTTTAGATGCACTGTACGTATTCACAAGCAAGGTTTGAAGATTCTTAATAACTCTCACGAGAAGTTACACTGTTTGCTTAGTTTCATCTTGCTAGTAATATAATTATGTAACTCGGTTATAATTCTTGTTTTCTTTCTGTATGGTTGAAGTTGGAAGTGCTATATCTACATGATTGAAAATTCTCAGGTCTTAAACTAGCCTGTTCCAGGCTCTCAGATAGCGGGCCCAACTATCTCGGAGCCTGGAACAGGCTAGTCTTAAACTGTCACTGCTATTATAGGTACACATTTCCTATTTTATACAAAAACAGTCTCTTCAAAACGACAAAGCCGCGAGAGTCAGGCGCGGATCTAGGATAAATACTGACCGTTTTCCAAAACGAGCGTCGAAGGCGTAAGCTTCTAGGGGGGTCCGAGGAATGCACCCCGTGAATTTTTTTTTTTTTTTTAACTCCCCAAAGTCGCTTTTCCTGGGTTTCTGAGTCATTCAGTCAGGATATTGGCCGCATTTTAACTTGGAAAGTTTTTTTCATGAAAATTTATTTATCTATGAAAACTCTGACCGATTTTCGTAAAACGGTGGAAACCGGTGTGGATCCGCGCCTGCGAGTGTCGAAGGCAGCCATGCCTTAAGTGACATCTTTAAGTTTCAATTTAAATCTGCGTTTTAGTTTTTTGTTAACTAAGAATAAGTACTAGAAATAAGTATCTAGAAATTGAAAAACCCTCATGCACAAGTCACGCAAGCATGCAGTGTTTTATAATTTGTCTTTCAAGCTATTTTTTCATTACGTCTGTTGAACTTAAACGAAACTAAACCAAAGAATTAATAACAGCTACTGTCCTATGCTTATTTCATTTGTTAATTTTACTTTGAATTATATCAGCTGCCACATTTGCATGACATTTTGCGAGATGTTCGAGCACTTCCGAGTCATTGTGGTATTTTTTTTCCTCATTAACTATTGAACTAAAATAAAATCCAGGGGAAATCGATTTTGGTTCGAGTTAGGGACGGACCATTAGGAAAGTTATGGGGGGGGGAGGGGAATTTTCGAGCAGCAGGAATTTTTTTTCGTTATCAAATTCTTTGCATGAATTTTTTTTAGGCCATAGCATGAATATGTTTTAGGGTTAATTGGCGTGCATGAATTTTTTTTCATTAAATTTTCCCTTGCGTTTTTTTTTTTTTACTTCGCCCCCCCCCCCATAAGTTTTCTAATGGTCCGTCCCGTAGCGCGAGGT